GTTCAGCTAATCAATGGGTCCTCCAACATTTCCAGCGTACTTTCTGGTTAATACACCCTATTTTGAAATTTCAGCTTTTTAATTTCTTTAGAAATTGATTTTTGAAATTGGATTTTTTGCAGCTGTATCAAACAGCGACAGAATGCCGACTGAACACGTGTCCGGACGTCCAGCTAGTACCTGTACTACCAGTTCCGGTTTATTATCCACCCCCAGCCAGCTGTATTTCAGCCTCGGGGTTACCCGAACCTGGAAGTAGAAGATGGTTGGCCAATAATGACCACCAGTTCAGAAACAACCATCTTCGCCCATATCAATCTTTTTATGTCAAAATGCCAGCTGCAAAAGTACAAAAGGGAGAAGCAGCAGGAATTCCAGTTGAATTTATAAGAGCATTCCTGAAGAATAAGAAGAAGAAGAAGAAGAGGAAGAAGTAGAAGTAGAAGTAGAAGGGGCAAGCCTCTTTGTGGACTCCTACAACAGAGTGTGACTTGCTTACAGGCCTCTTGCGTTTTTAAATCTGTAAGACACTGACCAGAAGACACACTGCGATAGCTGAAAACTTCAGCCCTAACCCTGGGCCCAGGAAAAGTTTGGAGCCAAGACTGGTTGCTCCCACTACAAAGGAGACAGGAACCCAGATGACCTGACTAATAACCCCAGATGTCTGAAATAAATGCCACTCAATTCAGCAGAGACAGTTTTGAATGGACCTACTCTCGCGTCTGCCAAAACTTCAAGGAGTTAAGCCAGCGTTTGAAATAGTATATTGGCTTATCTGTCAATGAATATCATGCAAGTCGGAACTCACCACGTGGACTGATTCACTGTAGGAGGTCATTGGTACGAGTGGAGTGGCGAATCCCGTTTCTGAGGCTTTCTGCACCACAGTGTCCTCGTCCTTATCTACAGAGGAGTTGCTGGGACTGGCCTCTGCCTCAGGCGATACGGAGTGGTTTTGTTTCCGATCCAGAGTGTTCACGGTTATTGTAACACCCTGACGCTGAACATCACTCTCGACGCGTTCCGTGTTTGCCTTTAAAGGCGGTCCGATTAAACGGAAGGGGGAGAGCGAGGGCGGAAGAATAAGAGGCAGTAGCACATGTCAGTGGATTGGAAATAGCCTGAACACGGAAGTTAGTCATTTACCTTACGCCGAAATATAACGGTGACAGGTTTAAACTCTTTTCAAGTTATGGCAGCTTTCGTGCCAAGTCAAGGGCCTGCGACCAGTGAGGTTCCGAGGAGCTACCCGTTGTAAGGCTCAAATACTCTTAGAAATAAAAAGTACTATCCAATCGCGATTTGGATGCAGATTAGCAAGGGATATACTCCCAAATTGGTTCATACACGACAGCATACTGGACCTTTATGGAAAATCTTTACAGCTCCATGGCAAGTATACTCTCTGTAGGGGTAATGTTCATCTGCTTTTCGACAAGTGCGTGATTT